CCAATCTAACCATTCCGATATTACCTTTTAATGGCTTTGATTTTTGACTCTTAGCCATGATTTGTTGTGCACACTGTTTATTCTTAGCTTTTTTATTCTTTTTTTTTTTAAACACAGTTTGTAAAATCTTCTATAAGCCAGCGGATGAACGTCGTTATAAAAGCATTTTATTTTATAAAAAGATAACATTAATAATCCATTTTCAATCAGAACAATGAATGATGATATCTGAGTAATGAGTTACTTTGTATGGAACTTTTCATTGTTTAAACTGAGTTACCTGACAGAGTTTTGGAATAGTTTCCCTGGAAACCATAGTGTCATGAGACTCTTGACAACTATTGCTGCTGCCCTAGCGACCGAAAACTCTTAACTTGCTAGTTCTCATTGCTCTAATATATTTACATGTGCCCATTTATCAAACATATGACCTTGTAATAGGTATCTATCTATACCAGGAGCATACGTCGTTCTGGTTCATCTTCCTCTGTATGTAAGAAATCTTTAAAAGCCTGGAACACACATCGTCTATTTTAATACTTATTCGACCATGAAAAAAATGTTATTTGATACTTTGTATCCTCTGGGAAATGTCACAGTTTGGTAGAGGGGTTTTTTTTCCTGACATTTCATGGTTTCTTGTCTCATCACAAAGTTTTCAGTGTCTGAATTTATTTGTTATGCACCAGCAGTGAGCTACCCAAAGAAATATCACACTACTGCTTTCAACGTTTTCACGAATAAAGTGTACCTGTCACCTACATGCTGTGCAGAAAGTACAATCAAATGACCAGCAATTGTGTTGCAGTTTACTATCTAATGGTAATGTATTATTAAAGTTGAATTCTGGGCACAAAATATTTTAATTAACCACTTGCCTACTGGGCATTTATACCCCCTCCCTGCCCAGGCTTTCAGTGCTGTCGCACTTTGAATGACAATTGCGCGCGGTCATGGAACATTTTACCCATATGACCTTTTTTTTTCATTTTTTTCACACACATAGAGCTTTCTTTTGGTGGTATTTAATCACTGCTGGGTGTTTTAGTTTTTGCACTTCAAACAAAAAAAATCAAACAATTTTGAAAAAAAAAAGTTTTTCTTTGTTTCTATTATATAATTTTGCAAACAAGTCATTTTTCTCCTTCACTGATGTGCGTTGATGAGGCTGCACTGATAGGCAGCACTTATGGGCACTGATAGGAAGCACTCATGGGTACTAATGAGGTATCATGGATAGGCTGCACTGATGAGTTGGCACTGGTGGGCATTGATGAGGAGGCACTGATGATGCTGCACTGATATGCAGCAATGATGGTCACTGATAGGTGACACTGATGGGCAACACTGATGGCCAGCATTGACTGACAGCACTGACTGACTGCCCTGTCTGGCATCACTGATGGCACTGACTGGCAGCACTGCTGGACACTGATGGGCGACACTGATAGACCCATTATTTATTATTCATTATCTATTATTTTCTATTCTATTCTGTACTTTTATTTTATATTCTTTTATATTCTATTCTAATCCTTTATTTTACATTTTATTTTATTCTATTCTTGTATTTTCTATTCTATTCTGTTCTGTTCTACTCTATTCTTTTTCTATTCTATTTCTTTATTTTATATTCTATGTTATTCTACTCTTGTTTTCAAATTCAATTTCATTTTCAAATTCAAATTTTTGCCAAAAGTTTTTTTTTTTTTTCAGATTTGTTTAAATTCGTTACTATTGTAATTTGGAGATACGGATACATCCAAATCTCCAAAGGCAACACTCGTCCTGATTTAATGACAGGCAGCATCATACAAACCACTTTCTGGGTGCCCAGGCTGTCATGGACACACCCCCTGGTGGATTATCATCAAGCTGACCGGTGCTCATAGTCTAACTGCACTTGATGGTGCTCAAATGTTACATGAGTGCCAATCAGTGCAGAGGTGAGAACCGTCCCCCACTGCTAGGAGAGAGAAAGAAGTCCCCTTGAGATCAAAAGACTGGCCAGATGACCCTTGTATAAAAAGTATGTATAATTTTATTATTTGTTTTAGAGCCAATTCACACCATAAAAATGCACTCCAGATGCATTCTGGACACGTTTTTGCTCATAGTTCACACCACACTGTTCCGGTGCAGTTTTAATGCAGTTTGCTATGTTCCAGTACAGTTCTGTGAAGGAAAAATGCAGCATGTTCTACTTTATTTTCTGCACTAGAAACTGACTGGAACTGACTGCACTAGTGTGAACCAGGGCCATTGGAATACATGGAAAACAATATGCAAGATAAGCCTGAAGCAAAAAAAAAAATAGGTGAAGGGCTAGATGACAAGGGGGACAGGGGATACAAGGCAGGACAGGGTTAAGTTATAGCTGGTCAGAAAGGCGGTCACTTACTGGATTGGGAGTTTGCGGAAGGAATCTTCCCGCCCTTCTGCCCTGCTGTTGTTTGTGTTTGGGGCTCCAGGGCCTTTAGCGGTTGGGGTCTTTGGAGGTTAACATTTTCGGAACAGTTCATAGCACTGGTACATCTAAGGTATGGCATTCTCTGTCGGATCCCAGTTAATGGGGTATTATCTGGGAAGTGGAAACAAGTTGGTATCTGCAGAGAAGTGGGTTTGACCCCAAGCCGGTGTTTTGCGGCTACGGATCATGAAGTAGTAACGCAGATACAAAACCTGATGTTAGTTCTCAAGTGCCCTCCCAAGACCGGCAACCTGTATGTTATGGCAATAGGTTTATGCATATGTTTTCAGAATGCTATTTTGGTTTATTTGTTAATAAACGGCCAAGCTGGCCAATTTTCTCAAGATTGGGTCTTTGGTAATTTTTTAATTAGTATAAGTTGGGAAGAATATCTATGGTAAAATGTAGAAGGACTTGGAGACATATGGGTTACCCTGGTCATGCATTTTTTGATGCAGAAAAAAAATGTACTGGACTGCATCTGGTGCAGGGGCGGACTGACCATTTGGGAACTCGGCACTGCACGAGGGCCCGGGGTCAGTAGGGGGCCCCATGAGATGCCCCTGGTAACTTTCATAGGCTTTTTTGGGTGTGGTTTGAGTGTGGGTGAGGACACAGGGGCCCCATGATCCCCTATTGCCCGGGGGCCCCATAAGTTGTCAGTCTGCCCCTGATCTAGTGTGAACTAGCCCTTACATATTGGTAAAAATATAAATAGAATTAGGAAGAATATACGTATGACAGTAATTTAAAAAAAAAATGAAAAAAAAGTATAAAGTTTGTTATGATTCAACTGCTTGTGTAACTTCAGCAGAGACTGGAAATTGGCAATACATACCAAATCAATGTCAAACAGAAGGCAATCTTTACAATGTAACTATGAGCAAAATCAGAAGTTACATATATGATGCCATCTGTCACTAACAATAACACAGCATTCTCTGCTTTTCTGAGTCCTCCTGTAATATAGTTTTATTACCTGTTGATCCGGCCAGTATGTCTGTATGCTCTTTGTACTGCAATAGAATTGTATTGACACCTTGTAGGTTGAATGTTCTTAGTTTTAGGTGGCCATGTAGTTTTAAATAGACTTTAAGTAAGAGACAAACAAATTAATGCTCCAACTAACCTTTTAATCAGTTACAGAAACGGATTTCTTTTCTTTTGGAAAATAAAATGTGTACCACATTAATTAAAACTGACCATTGTAAGCACCCCTGTCAGCATTATGTATATGGTTTGTCTCAACACTTGTAACTATCCTTTTCTTGACAGCATGGCCTGTTACAAGACGTGGAAAAATAATGGATTTTATTTTCTTAAAACAGACAATCTACAAAAATAAATATTGTATATCACAGAATATGCCAACAAATTAAATCTATATTTTTAGTAAAATCTATATTTTTTTGGCTCCATGCACACTGGCTTTAAAAAAAAAAACACTGCTCCTAGAGGAGTTTAGCATTTTGCCCATAGAAGCAACTAATGTCTCAACTAATATGCACATTAAAGTATGATTTAAAGTTTTCTAAGTTCAGCGTTTAGAGGCAGAAAAAAAATTCCTTCTATTTTGCATTTTTGAGAGCGTTTTTCTGGCAGGAAAACACACTAAATGTTCCTAAACAGTTCTAAAGGTTCCTAAATGCTATTACAAACAAAAGCTCAAAATTAGCGTTTTTTCCTGCAAAGAGCAATGGCGTTTTTTTAAGCATTAGTATTTTTTTTAGTGTACACAAACACAAAATTGTCTCCAAATGTTCATCAAAACATAAAAGATCAGAGTAGGGTTTAATCACGAAGTGTCCTTTCACACGAGGCGGACCCGTTTAGCAGATCCGTTTGCTCAGTGGGGGATATCTCCGTTCAGCAAGCGGCTGACAGGTCTGTGTCCGATCTGCTGCTGCAGAACGGACATAGAACAGCTTGCTCTCCTCAGTGGGCAGTCAGATAAAAATGGACCGCCTGTCCATTCCCATCTGACCCGATCCAACGGACGGAATGGGAATTGAATCCCCATCCATCCCTTTTCATGCAGGTCAGAATGGATTGGATGTCCGGACATGTCCATTTACATCCGCAGCTCCATAGAGAAGAATGGCGGTTTCCGATCAGGACCGCTTCAAAACAGGCAGGCGGACCCGATCGGAATGTCCATGTGAAAAAGGCCTAAAGCTGGTTCACTTGTGCGCCTGTGCATGGTAGCCAGTCAACTTCTGAACACAGCTTGTTCAATTAACCACTTGCCTACCAGGCACTTATACCCCCTTCCTTACCAGGCCAATTTTCAGCTTTCAGCGCTGCCGCACTTTGATTGACAATTGCGCGGTCATGCAACATTGTACCCATATGAAATTTTGATCATTTTTTTCTCACAAATAGAGCTTTTTTTTGGTGGTATTTAATTGCCACTGGGCACTTTACTTTTTGCGCTATAAATTAAAAAAGTGCAAAAAATTTGAAAAAAAAAAAAAAGTTTCTTTGTTTCTATTATAAAATTTTTCAAACAGGTATTTTTTCTCCTTCACTGATGTGCGTTGATGAGGCAGCACTGATGGGCACTGATAGGCGGCACTGATGGACACTGATAGGCAGCACTAAAGGGCACTGATAGGCAGTACTAATGAGGTGGCACGGATAGGCGGCACTGATAGGCAGCACTAATGAGGTGTCACGGATAGGCGGCACTAATATGCAGCACTGATAGGCGGCACTGATAGGTGACACTGATGATGGGTACTGATAGACGGCACTGACTGGTGGCACTGACTGGCACAACCGCTGGGCACTGACTGGTGGCACTGACTGGCAGCACTGCTGGGCTGCACTGGTGGGCAGCACTGGTGGGCAGCACTGGTGGGTGGGCACAGGTGGGTGGCACTGGTGGGCACAGGTGGGTGGCACAGGTGGGTGGGCACAGGTGGGTGGCACTGGTGGGCACAGGTAGGTGGCACTTCTGGGCAAAGGTGTGTGTGACACTGCACAGAGTGGCACAGGTGGGGGCACTGCTGGGCACAGGTGGGGGCACTGCTGGGCACAGGTGGGCGGAGCTAGTGGACGTCCACCCAGAACTGGCCGGCCGCAGTGAAGCCGTCATTCGGCTATCTGCGGTCGGCAACTGGTTAAACTTTAGCAATAAAACCTGTAGGCTGATTGGTTTCTATGCAGAAGTGCATGAGATTCTGAGTGAACCAGCATTAGTAAATAAGCCCCACTGTATTGAGTTAATACATTCTAAATATATCTAGTCTTTAAATTGCGTGGGCTTGCAAAATGGTGAAAAACCACAATACTTAGAATTGTAAATTGCTGACTCATTAAAAACCTTTATAGCTCACAAGTTGAGGTATACCTAAATTATGGCAGTAATAACGGAAAAATAAAAAAAAAAGGTTCAAGAATCAACTCGCCAGCCGGCTTGCCAACAACCAAATTGACCTGTCTAACAGTATGTGTTAAAAACAGGGGTTTAGTTAGCACACATTTGCAAATACATACGTAAGCCACAGAGCCACATCACGGCACCCTGATATTCTGTGGTCCTAACTCTACAAATTTGAGAGTCCCCATAGTAGAGGCACATGCATTTAAAGGATAGACCAAGGGCAGGTGCACATCAAGGAGCCCACCCCTCTTAAAGGTACAGGAATGCAAAGAACACCCAGCATATAGCTATACTATACCTAAATTATGGCCCTAAAATGATACCTCTACCTTCTCTTCATGGTGATACAGAATGTGTAAATTGTTTATATACTGTATGTACATTTTAGCTGCATGTATGTGTGATTATGCTTTTATTTTTTACTCATTTTTTATATATTTTTATTTTATTTATATCAGGAGATAACTGATGAGACCAGTATCAAATTGAAGTGAAAATACAATTTATGACAAAAACACGAACACAAGCGACATAAAGCATAAATACAACAACCTATACATAACCCAGTGAACATGAGTGAAAAGTGGAAAGCAGCTTCCTACCTAAGTATGAAAATATGAACACAGAGTCAGTGCTGAAGTGTTGAGAGGATACACATCTATTAATATGTTGCTTCCATTCAGAGTTCATTCAAGATTTCTCATATAAAACCTGCATGCAAGATAATGTCCCCCGGCCTTGCAGCTCTCTCCAGACTGAGAAATACTAAAAAAACACAATAGAAAGGGCACTAACATTGTGTAAAATCTTCAATAAAATCTTTATTAACAAATATATCTTGTAGTCACAATGGTACTTGGTAAAATTGTGTATAACATAAAATCCATTCCAGTTGAGATAAGCTCAGACCAATAGGTGCAGATATCCCACCCAGGGGTGTATTTATCACAAGGCAAACAAGGCATTTGCCTAGGGCGGTGTTTTTCAGGGGGGGCAGCACTGCCCCTTGGAAGAAGGGATGGAAAAAGGGACACACGTGGCATGGGGACCTGGTGGGTTCTGAGAGATGCTGTGGGTTTCATGGCATTGTATGTACAGCCCGACTCTCATTTCTGGGGATGTCCGGAGCTGTGAAGGTGAGTGGGGGGCAGTGGTAGTGGAAGGCTCGGGTGGAGGGCAGGGATGCTCTTAGTCAATTTCAGGCTCTTTCTGCGGGGGGGCACCAATTTTTATGTTGCCTGGGGCAGCACAAAACCTAAATACACCACTGATCCCACCATAGATTCAGTACAACAAGATGTAATTGCTGCCTTAAATGATTATAACAGCTAATGCATTGTAAGGATCTGCCCTCTCTTTATGAGTTACTAAATGTCTCAATCCTGCCAATGCTGTAGGAATATTGTAGGTCTAAATCAGAGTTGTGCACTTCTAGGCTTAGTCTAACCAACTCCTGTTGATTAACCTCTTTCTGCTCTCCAACCCCCTCCAGCATTCATTGGCTCTGTCGATACCTCTTGCTTGCATGTAGAAGTGATCAGGTGGCTTTTCTGCTACCAAGGTCATGTCTACTGCAAAAGAGGATAGCTGTCCAAGTAATGCCAAAATATTTTCACAGCTGCTATTGCAGCCACGGGATTTGATTGTCATGACGTATAAACAGTATGCCCTTGTGTATATGTCCTTGGCAGTAAAAGTTGTTAAACCAATTCCTAAGCTAGTGGGCTATGTAAATTAATTATAGCAAGGCAGGTTGGAAACCTATGATCCATATTCAGGCTCAAATCAGTGACCTACCTGATGCAACCATTTCAGCCAGAATTAGCTATCAATCTGCCATTAAAGGTATTTAGATCACCCATCTTGCACATTTTAATGTTTCACAGAACCACTGAGTCTAATGGCCATATGTGAATACTTACATATACAAAGAATGGAATGGAAAACAAGAATGGGATGACGGACAGGGATATATGCAACTATAGACATGCAGCTGTCTCCCTAAGGCTGATAGGTGGGGATATATACAACCATGGACAGGCAGATATCTCTCTTAGGATGATGAGAGGGAATATATTCAACTTTTGACATGCAATTATCTCTCTGAGCATAATGAGAGGGGATATATTCAACTTTGGACATGCAGCTAATTTTCCGAGTGTGGTAGGCAAGGATATATGCAACCATAGAAATGCACATAGCTCCCTAAGGCTGATGGGCGTGAATATATAGCCAATCATGGGTGGTCAGACATCTCCCTGATATGTTGGATGGGGAAAGATCCAACCATAGATGATGATGATAGCTGAGGGTATACTCAACAATAGATATGCAGAGAACATTTTAAGGATGATAGCCAGGGATAACTCCAACCATAGACATGCACAAATCTCAGTGAGGCTGTTGGGTGGGGATATTTTCAACCATGGACAGGCAGATACCTCTCTGAGGATGATGTTTGTTGGGATATATCCAGCCATGGACAGGCAGATATCTCCCTTATATGTAGGATGGGGAAATACCCAACCATAGATAGGTGGAAATCTTCCTCAAGATGAATGCTGGGGTATATTCAAGATAACATTCTGGGGATTATGGGCAACAATATATCTAACCTTAGACAGGCAGACATCTCCTGAAGATGATGGATGGGGAAATATCCAAGCACAGATAAATAAATATTACCTTGGTGATGATGGCTGGGGATGTTTTTGATCATATACAGGCAGATATTGGTAAAGCTAGTTCTCATAAAAAGACTTCCAGCATGTAGCAAATTAAATCCTTTTCGCTGATTCCTGGTTTGTTCCCTTTTCCTGCAGACCCAGAGCTTAGTTACGCCATCTTTCATAGGTAGAAGATACAGAGTCAGTGCAGAGGCGGTGCATGCTCCATTGGAAGTAAGCACAGGACATACATAAGATGACTGACAACTAGCTCAGGCAGTTTATTCTCCGTTGTCACTTCACTCCCAGTGTTTGTCATACCCTGAATAGCAGAACAAGATTGAGATCCATAGACAGAAAATATATAGACAAAATCTCACAAACAAGCTGAATTCTCCCTGTCCCCCTTTTGCTAAATACAAGCTGATTATGCAAACATGCGTCTCTTGATCAATGTAACTGGTAGCTCATTTAGACAAAGGACTGTTTACTTCTGGCTAGAGTTCTTGTTCTTCTAATTTATCACATCTTGATTGCTTTGCATTCTCATGCATAAATTATGCTGCACAAATATCAGTGTATGCTGTGCAAAGGCATTTAATTACCTAACCTTTTAAAACATGTCATTAGCCATTAAAGAGGAAAAATATTATTTATGTAGATAACATGAATAGAATGGGTTACATTGAAAAGATTATTAAAGATCTGTTAGTTATATAAAGGAAATATATTGGGATAAAATGATGGGAGCTGCAATTCCTGACTTGTGGTGCACGCCCCAGGATTGTCATTTTCATCCTTGTCTTGCTACCTAGTGTACTACTGACCTAAAATAAGAAGGCAGTCAATGACGTGTCAATGGAGCTTCCCTGCAGGCCAGTGATACACCAAGCAGTGGGCAGTGAAGCAGTGAAGTGAAGATGACAACCTCAAAGCATGCAAATGTAAAAACAAGTCAGCCAATGGCTTTCTTTATTCTGGAAGATTCTAAACCTATCCCCTCCCCTCTTGGAAAACCCCCCACAATTTACTGTGTATATATATCACAGGTCCCTTTCTTCCTCTGGAAGCAGTCCAGAATGCTGCAACATTGGACTGTAGCTGCCAATCACATTCAAACCTTGAATCTGGTGATATATCGTACAATGAGAGGGGGATTTATGCAGCACAAGCTTCAGGAAGTGGACACAACACTCAATATATTTACAGTATATAGGTTTGAAAAGTCGTATCATATAAACAGAACTCAAAGTAAATTAAAGAGGTTCTTCAGCCTTTTTGAAAAAAAAATAAAAGTCAGCCGCTACAAATACTGTAACTGATGAATTTTAATAAAAGGACCTGTCCAAGGATCCATTGTTGTCCTCACCAGGGCCGGTTCTTCGCTGGTCTTTGGGTCATCGGTGTCAGCATATTTAGTGTGGGAATCTGACTATAACTCCTTGCAGCTTCATGGCTGGTTTACCAGAGCTCATGCATGAGTCACGCTTGGCTGTGTGAATGGTCCCACAGCCTGCTGGTACCTGTGACATGTCTCAGAAAACTGCAGGTGGGGACCCAATTTCCAGT